GCCCCCCTCCGCCTCCCCCCCCCGTGCACCGCCCCCAGCCTCTGACCATCTCCGTGGCTCCTCTGGCCCCACTCCAACAGCTCCGTGTCTGTCCTGTGCTGAGGACCCCAGAGCTGGACGCAGTACTCCAGGTGGAGAAGAGGGGGAGAATCACCTCCCTCGACCTGCTGGTCATACTTCTTTAGATGCAGCCGAGGACACAGGTGGCATTCTGGGCTGCAAGCGCACACTGCCGGGTCATGTTGAGCTTCTCATCTACCAGCACCCCAAAGTCCTTCTCTTCAGGGCTACTCTTAATACATTCTCTGCCTATAGCACATAATTCCTGGCTTCTATACTAGCATGTATTAGGTAGAAATAAGATGCTTAGTTTAACATTTATTTAAACAGTGATGTCCTCATGTACACCATGGAGTATCTTGAACTTTTCTTGTTTCCATTAAGGTAAGAAATTCATAGGAAGAGACAATCCGATGGCTTTAAGAGGCTGCAGTGGAAGTGAACTGTATGCTTCTGAGGATGGTGTAGGTGACCTAACCTGCCCAGAAGCAACTCTGCCAGACCTTCCTCACCTGCTTCAGGACTCCGTGTCTCTGACAGATTGTAATGACATGACTTGTGATCCTCAGGAAGAACAAACAGAGTATCATAGTGTTGTTTGTGGAGGTATACTTGAAAGTCATTCTTGTGGGACTAAGGAAAGGGTTTGTCCAAATCTGCTCGTCTGTGACAGTTTAGAACATGGAGAGGTGAAAGACATACTGCTGATCGAGGGCATGCTGCCACCCCAGATCACTACAAGTGAAGAAGTGTCTGGAAAGAATGACAGACACATTCCCAGCGTCTCAGTGAAGCGCAGCAATCCTTTACTGCCACCAAGAGAAAGGGCCCCTGCTGTAGCCACAGAAGTTTGTGAATGTGTAGGGGACTCCTATTTCTCCGGTTGTGAAGAATCTACTGTCAGCACAGGTGGTGCTAGCTGCACTGACTTCACTGCAAAGGGTGCTGAAGCCCAGTTTCCAGTCTCTGCAATTCTCATTAGCAAGAATCCTTTTTTTGGGTTAAAAGTTGCAGATAAATCCTTGCATGGAAATACCAGCTGTCCAAACTTGGAGTTGGAGCATCGTGAAACCTTGAAAAGCGTTGCCCGTGTCTCTACCATTACCCAAACTGTTGATGTGAGTTCTGATTTTAGAACTTGCTTTACAACAAGCAGAAGTACAAGTACTCAGGTTTGTCTTTCGTCCAGGGCTATTAATACAGAGATAACAATGATGAACAAATCTCGTCCTGCGGGATGGCGCTGCGAAACCTGTGCAGACGTTGTTTGCAATGCAGACTGGTTGTTTGGAGCTGGTAGCGTAGAGGAAATTTGGTCACAGCTTCCTGAAACTTTGGAAAAACACTTGGATGGCAATACTGCAACAGCTGACAGAAGTTTGCAAATTCAGGTAATTAAACAAACAACAACAAAACCCCACAATAACCAAACAATTTTGGTATATAGAACGTTTTTTAATGTAAAATTGCTCAGAAGTTGTCTATACAGATATTAATCTTTAACTTTTTAATATGTTTTTTGCTTAGAAACAGTGGAAATCAAGAAATGAGCTGTGTAGCAGTGATTTAAAGATGGGCACTGACAGGTGGGTAGTGAATTGTTTTTGGTTTGGAATACTTCATGGTGTATAAGATGGATTTAATGATCGAAAAGTTGCCTCTGACTTAGCAAAACTAATGGTATTGAAAGATTGCTGGGCAGCAGTTCATATGCTGGAGGGCAGGAAGGGACCTGGACAAGTGACAGGGGTGAGCTGAAGATCTCCTGAAGTTGAGCAAAGACCAAAACAGCCTTGGTCTGCAGTTGCAGACTGGCCAAGGACAGGTTGAGTGTAAGTCAGCAGTAGTCCCGCATGGTGAAGAAGGGAAGCAGCATCCTGGGGCTTCATTAGCAGGAGCGCAGGCAGCAGATGGAGGGAAGCGTTGGTTGTTCTGAGCTTAGTGCTCATGAGGTTGCATCTGGAAAGGTATCTGTAGTTGTGGGCCTTGTAGTGCGAGAAAGAGACTTGGCAGACTGGGAAATCCCACCAGAGGACTGTGGAGATGGTGCAGGGAGCTGGTGGAGCACCTGATGTGTGGGGAGGGCTGAGGGAACTGGGTTTGGCCAGCCTGGAGAAGGTGGCCTCTGCAGAGGTGCAGAACCTCCCTGCATTTTGGCAATGTGGTGGTGGGTTGCCAAGAAGACAGAGTCAGATTCTTTGTGGAGGTGCATTTGGAAAGGGCAAGAGCCAACAGTTACAGTGAGGGGAGTTCTAAGTGCATGTAAGAAAAAGTTTCTTACAGTGAAAGTTGTATTGGAACAGCACTGGAGAGATGGTGCAGTCTCCTTTCTTGGAAATGTAAAACAAACAAAAACCTCTCAAACCCAACAGCAACGCTGGACTGGATAGGACCCTGACAGCTAATTTAGATGTTAGCCCTGCTTTGAACAGAGGTTCATACTGCAGACCTCCAGAGATCCTTTCCAACCTACATTATTCTGTGACTGTGGAAACAAAATAAGTGCGTCTGTAGATCAAGAGAGTGGCTAAGTTCCTTTTTGTTCTTACAACCGCACTTTTTGGGTAGACATGATTATAGTGGTCATGGAGTTTCCACCTCTTGATTAAGGCGGATTATAATGCAAAAGCTACTGCAAGACATTATTTTTTCTGCATAGTAGATAGGAGGAACAGATTTAATTTTTCTTTTCTTTTTTGTGTTTTTTTTCTTCCTTAAATTGTATCAGAAATAGCTCCTGTAAAGCTACTTGTTTCAAAATGAAACATAATGAATACAAAATATTGATTCAAGGGCTTCAATATTGTGGTTTTTATTATTATTTTCAAGGCCGGTACACCTTAACAAACAAGATGTGAAGAATTCTGCATCAAGCTGCTGTCAAAAAATACTGCAGAGAGCGATTGAAGCAGAATTGCAGATTCTAAACACTCATTATCATATGTGCAGTCAGCACTGCTTGAAGATTTACCTACTGGCTTTGGAGGAAAGCACATGTTCTATCAGGCACGTACTTTAATGTCCTTTTAAATGAAATCGACAATCTGGTTTGCTGAAGATTCCTGATGTAGTCTGTGTAGCTTGTAAATAGTATTTATAGTTAGCAGTGTTGTCCAAAAGAGTTTACATTCTTGTAACTGCCAAGTGTTATTTTCAGCCTAAATGTGTCTATAGTGTTCACAGACCCAGAAAAAACCAATTTATTTCCAGGAACATCTTTTTGTACAGAGAATCTGTTCAGGAGTTGACAAGATACATAGATGAGGAGCTGGGGAGAAGGAGGTAAAAGAGAGGAGGTGCAGAATTGTTAAGAGGTGAGGCAGGAAGCTGCTGGCAATTGCAGAGTCTCTGGCTGATAAAGTAGATGCCCTGTAACAAACCTGGAATTCAACAAAAAAATCCTGCCTCTGACTGCTTTTCAGTGCTACAGGTAGCTATAAAATGTCATTACTGTAGTGTCTGCTCTCTAGCCTAGGAGGATGTTCAAGAGAACACGTAGTAACACTGAACCGGAGTACAGCTCCAGAGAGCTGCCGTGGGCGTTGGGAATGAGCACCTCTTCTTGCGCAATGTGGAGGAGTCTTTAAGTGCTGTAAAACGTTTGGGTGATTTGGGAAGCGGTAAAATAAATGAAACGTCTGTCGCAGTTGATCTTATTATATCTATTTTCACAGATGTAGTGGAAATACCGAATTGGGTTTATCTCTCAAGGTGGTTTTGGAAGACCTAAGAAAGAATTACAACAGTATGAGAATGAAAATAAAAATGGGTGTACCTTTAAATGCACTTCCACCACTATCAGTTGAGACAAAGCTGTTTCCGATGTCTTCTTATGTCCCATGCAAGGTAATTTCTTAGTTGCTTTTTGGTTTTAAGAGGAAGTGTGTGTTTTCTTCAGAAAATTAAGACAAATCTTTTCTTTTTTTACAGTTGTTCAGAGAGGATCTTTTCTATGCGTAAGTAGCCCTCATCTGTGGTAATTTTTTAAGTTCAAAATAAAGGAGAAGCGAGTTTAAAAGATGTTCAACTTAGAATTTCTTGATTTCAGGATGTATCTTGTTGCTGCAAACTGCTTTGCTGAAAGACTAGTATAGCACTTTGGGTATAGGGATTTTGTTTTAAGGACACTTTTACTAAGTAGTGTTCTAATATCCAGACTATCGAGCTATATTTTTACTAACTTTATATGGAAAGTTTTCAATGTACAGGTAATTTTCATGGTTCCCTACTTTAGCTCCTCAAACCTTTGTCTATAATCTTCATGCTATCTGACTTAAAAAACAAAACAACACAACCAAAAAGCCATCAAAAAAACCCACCAAAACAAAAAGACTTTGCTGCCGACAAAGCTAATATTAGGCATATAAGCAGGTGTTCTGCTAAGATTATAATTCAGTTACGAAGAATGATAGACATATGGTGCTGCAGGTTTGAGAACCACATCCAGTTACTTTAGGTAGGTGGAGACTAAAACAAATTTGGCACTAAGTTTTACTGCATCAGGTAAACTAGAGATCTTTTTGAAATGTCTTGTTAAGCAATAGTAGAATTAATCAAGAATCACACAGGTTTCAAATTGTAAAAACATACGTTGAAACGTGACAGATAAAGCCATCTAGGCATAAAGGAAAAACAACCTAACATAAGCCCAGAGCATAGCTCTGTGTTTCAGGTTGCAACCAGTGCTTTCATAAAATGCAGGTATCAAAAAAACTTTGCTTCTCATTTTAAGATGGGATTTATTAAGCACATTGTATTGATGTTACTGAGAGCTTTTAGAAAGATTTAAATTAATATGCTAGAGTATTCTGTATCATTGTAGAATTTAAAATTGTGCCATATTTTGTATTAAATTCCTGGATCTGTTTTAGTTCTGTTTCAGGTGCAAGAAAAACTGACTTTGAAGCACCAGAACTGCAAGAAAGGAACGTTTCTGTCAATGTGGTAGGGACTCCTTTGTTCCTGGGTTTCATAGACATTAAAGTGGTGAAGCCTAGTCTCCTTTTAGACAGATGCAAATACAATCAAGAGAGTTCAGGGCTCAGGCTGAGATTCTTTGCTGGTAATCGCAAATGCAGCTGATATGACCAGAATTTTTATTTCCCTTACAAAATGAAATAACTTGGGGGTTCTTGAAGGTGATCATTAGGTTAACATTTTAACGTTTGCCTGTTGAAACAACTAATGTTCTGAAGCTCAGAAAAATAACTATAATCAGGTGCAAGTGCTATGACATAACTGAATCCTGTTTGTAGGACAATCTACAGACCATATGTTTAACTGAAGGCGGCCAGCCAAGTGACTGTATTTCCTCTGAGACATTTGAAGAACAACGTGAAGATCAGGGTGTGGAATGTGGTAAGCGATCTGCTTCTAGTACAGGTACCACATTAGTTGCTAGTTAAGTTGTTGAAAAAAAACCAAAGCATGTGTAAAACATAAAAGGAAAGCTGAGAATCCACCTGTGAAGGAATGCTTAACATGAACAGATTCAAATGTGGCACAACTGCCAGCAACAGTCAGTTGCTGAAGTGATCGGCTCCAGTGCAGGCACGTGGGGGATTGCAGCGTACAGGGAGGCTTTCTCAGCCAGGGAAATGGCAGGGAAACCTCAGGGAAGCACAGAGACCCACCAGGAGCTGGCAGCTCTTACCAGGTAGGCTGATGCAGTGTGGGCGGGGCCAGAAGTAATGGCAGCCACTTCCCACTCCCTCAAAAAACAGCCCTAGGGAGCGCAGCAGGTTGAAGGAGGTGATTCTCCACTTCTCCACTCTTGTTGAGACCCCACTAGCGTTCAGGTACTGGGGCCCCCAACGTAAGGAGGACATGGACCTTTTGTAGTGGGTCCAGAGGAGAGCCAGGAAGATGGTCAGAGGGCTGGAGCACCTCCCATACAAGAACAGGCTGAGAGAGTTGGGGTTTTTTAGGCTGGAGAAGAGAAGGCTCCGGGGAGACCTTCCAGCAGCTTCCAGTACCTAGAGGGGACCTTCAGAAGAGATGAGAAAGACCTCGTTATCAGGGAGTGCAGTGATAGGATGAGGGGTAATGGTTTTAAGCTGAAAGAGGGTAGATTTAGGTTAGATATGAGGAAGAAATGTTTTCCTGTGCGGGGGGTGAGGCACTGGTAGAGGATGCCCAGAGAAGCTGTGGATGCCCCATCCCTGGAGGGGTTCAAGGCCAGGCTGGATGAGGCTTTGAGCAACCTGGGCTAGTGGGAGGTGTCCCTGCCCATGACAGGGGGGTTGGAACTAGATGATCTCTAAGGTCCCTTCCAAAACACACCTTTCTATGATTCTGTGATTATATCAGGCCTATATTATCTTTTGTATCCTGAAAAAAATGCTACTTAAGTCAGAAGTGATAATTAATATGTGTCACTTCTTCATAATACAATAGCAAGTGATGTAGGTTGCTGTAAGCCTCTTAAGTACACAGAAATTTGATATTCATTCATATGACATACCACAGTCTGAATTTTAACATACTGAAATTTATTTCGACTGTCAAGGCTGTGTGAAAAAGGAAGAAGGGAATGACTATTGGTTTGATGCTAAAGAGGACTTGACAGGAGCAGATTTTTCGGTAATATCTGAAGAAACAAAAAAACAAGAAGAAAAAAAAGACATGGTTGATTTAATAGGTGAGGTTGTGTGCTTTCAGCTGCCATACCTAATAATGGTGTTTGTTTATTATGGGAGTATTCTTTTCCTTCTACTAGCATAAATAAGCTAGGAAAAAATTCTGGGTGGGTTTTCAGACTTATATTTTCATTGACTTGCAGTAAATGCTTGTACACAGTTATTCTGCTCTTCTCATCCATGTTTTCTGTTGAAAACTTGACCTACAATGGTCAAACTCAGTTTACTAAACCATGTAGCTGGAAATCTTTTCTCTTCTCTCTTCCCTCTCTTCCTGCTTTTTCCCTGTACTGGATTCCTGAGAGTTAGCCAGGAATGGGCAGTGTTTGGAGACTTGGGTCCCAGTGCCAGGCATGGTTAGAAGTTTGAGTGTGTGGAAAGCTTGTGTGCTTTGTGGTGGGGACTCACAGTGTGCTCCTACCCATGCTTTAGTGCTGGTACCTGTTAGTTCAGACTGCTGTTCTCTGGTTGTACCTCTTCTGCCTACTCAAACCTCAGGAAATAGACAGGGAAAAGGGATTTCACAAAGTGAACTGTTCCATTTCTCAGGACACTTATTTTCTGTTAGAAGAAACTCTTCATCCTCCTAGGTTTTTAAAGGGTTTTTATCTATGTTTTCTGAAATCTGTGGAGAAGATGCATGCTTAAACTGAAAACATAATAGTTAGTAACACTTTGCTTTCTTACGTTTTTTATTAGAAGTGAAGGTAATGGAGAGTGGAAATGAGTGTTCTTTTATTCGTGTTGGTGGCCTAAGTTCTTCAGTGTCCGAGGTATGCCTGTTCTTATTTACATAGTAGTAGTAATGTCTTCCCTCTTTTCTGAATTCTTTCCTACTGTACATTTGCAACCAAAATATGCTTCTATTTTGTAGGATGATTTACGATCCCATTTCCAGAAGTATCAGATTGCTGACATTCTTACCTATGCGGATTCTGGTAACTACAGGTATATTAATACAAGTTTTACTTGTTTCAGATGTTTTGCTGTCAAGGTAAGTGAATCATGGGAGAGAGGAGGGAGTTGTTCATTGAATTGTTTTCATTTTGTTTTAGTACTTAATGTAGATGGAGGTAGGTTGACAAAACCTTGTCATTCTAGACAGCTTCTCATCTTGTGAGAAGTTAAGCAGTCTGAAATTTTCTCTTGAGTTTAATTGAGATACATTTAATATTGAAAAGATGAGAACCATCATGTGTTCTTACTGATAGCAATTTGTGGTTTACTTAGCTTCCTCTCTTTTTATTTTACATCTTAGATGTACATTTCTGTGCGTTAAAGACACTAATAAAGCAAAGGCAGCTGTAGAGGAAATTAATCAGCAAAAAATAAAAGGGAAAATAGTGAGTGTGGAACTTGTAAATAATGCATCAGAGGACAAATCTTTGGTTTCCCAAATACTTACAAGTAAGCTTTGGCATGAAGTCCAGCCTGTTAATAACAATCAAAGAAATGACCAAGATAAAACACCTGCTTCAGCCTCCAATTCTGTGAAAGCACCTGACGCCACCTCTGTTTCTGAGAAAGAACATCTCCTTCCTGTAACTTCTTTGGAAATCTCTTGCTCTACACAAGTCCCTTTGGAAACTAAGTGCCCTGGTCTGAAGTCATCTGCTGAAGATTTTTCACTTCAAGCTAATCAAAAGGTGAAGAATTGTCACTAGGTCTCCTTTATTCAGCAGCTTAAGAGCCTTAAAACTTCTTGTTCCATGACATGTTACATTTAGTAGATATTGAATGATGTTAGGATAGGAAAACGTGTTGTTATGTGTTGGTAATAAATTTCTGGCATGCCTTTCACCAAAGCGTGAGAGCATGATTCGTTTGCCCCTGCACCCAGCTGTGCTATTCTTTTTTTCTTAATCCTAAATCAGTTGGGAACCTAGCCATTTGCACGGGATTTTTAATCTTGCTTTTCTCCTCTTCTGAATTTCCACTTTTAATACTTTTTCATGTGAACGTTCAGTGATTTTTCACAGGAAAGGTTTTGGGATATTAGAGGGGAAGCGCCTGGATTTTAAATACAAATCAAAATATGCATTGTGTGTGTAAATATATTCTTTTGTATTCGCTCATGTTGGTCCTCAGAGGACAAGGCAAAGTTAGTAATTGCTATCGATGCTCCCCTCAACTGTATTGATAAGCTTCCTTGGGGATTTAACTGTAAACATGATAGTCCTCTGGGAAATCTAAATAGGATTTCATTAAATGTAGCAGCAGTGTCAGTTACAAATAGAATCACAGAATGGTTTGGGGTGGA